AGCGAGCCGATGACGACGTGCTGGTCGCCGGTCGTGCTCAATCTGCTGTCCTAGAATACAAGGATGCTGCTACGCGCTCTCAAAGATACGATCTCAGCACCGCCAGGCAGCCAACGCCTCAGCGCGGGTAGCCCGCACCACGCAACTTGTTTGTTTCGGCAGGATTTCTCCATGCCCAGCCCGATGTTCGATTTGATGGCCTCCGCTGAGCATTCCGAGTCGCATACCCTGCAGTCAATGCATTCAGTCATCGAACTTCTCGACATGCGGAAGGTTAGGGAGAGGGCTTGCATGATCTAGTAAATGCGTTCTGGATGCGTTTGACGACCAGCTGGGACAAGCAGGACTTCGCCCATGTCTTTCAAGGTCTTGGGACGGAGAACTTCCCCTGCACGGCTGAACCGAAGGCATCATTCTGAACAACGAGGGGCGCGACTTTTCACCGCAGCCAGGCCTTCGACTCTCCGCGATCCACCGACCATCGCCCGGGCCGATTTGACGAGCACCGCCTGAAGGAACGGGATCTTTCGGTCGTCAATTTCTTTTCCTCGTCGCCGGCCATGCCGACAATCCGTATCGAGCCACCCCCCCCGGCTCTGTTTATCGCCCCGGTACTGCTCGCCGCTGCTTTGGATTTCCCGATCGACACCGCCCAGGCTCTTTGGCAGCCGCTCCCCATGATGGCGGTTGGCATGATTCTAGTGACGACTGTCGTGCGACATTGCGCCGAACGAACAGTGGCTACCCGGCCAAACGAGCCAGGAACGGAACAGCCAGCCGGTCAGCATCGACAGCATGTCGCCGAACAGGACCGCCGTAGCGTGACGCTTTACTATCCGCGAGCGTCCGCCCGGCCATCATCGGTTATGTTTTCAGCGCTGTCCATGATGATATGTGTCGCTGTGGCCAGAAAGGCGTGGACTGGGGCCATCAAGTTCCTCACATTGGTTCCAGATCAGACCTAGCCTCCCCGCCCGAGGCACAACGTCAGCCGGAGTGAACGCACAGAGGAGCGACAACAACCCTCATGACCTGTGGGATCTGCCTGGCCGAGGCGTCCATCTCGCGTTTCGGCGACCAGTCTGGAGCTGCTCGTCACCATCCTCATCTTGACATGGCACCATTGATGATCCCCAGCCTCTTCACTGACGGCCAGGCCAGTGACCACATCATCGAGCGACTAGTGCGCAATCTCATGCTCTTCCGAAGTTGATTCTGACATTGGAGACAACCTCGCGCAAGCGGCGGCTAAGTCGATGACGAGGCGAGATACCTGTGCATGTAGTCCGTCAGCGATATGGATCTTGGCATCGCTCAGCTCCCTCTCAAGGACCACCGGCGTCGGAATCGCGCTCGGCTCACCGTCGGTGCCCCCGAAAATTCCAATTCGCAAGCCTGCTCAATGACAATGAGCCACGCGAGATTGCGTCCCAGATCGACGCGACGGACCGCCTTCGGTCTTGAGGCTGTCAGTCTTCCAGAGCACTATCGCGACTGTCTCGGGAAGTCCCTAGCCTTCGGCGGCTTGACGCTTCTCAACTTTGGTGTGGTGTCCCCGAGAACCGGCATCAGGTGGCGGTCGTGCGATCCACATAAGTGACTAACATGCGGCATGCGATAAGCTCAGCATACGTTCCTGTTCCGACAGACGGTTCGGCGGAGCGCATGCGTTCTGCGCCGGGTCTTCAACAACCATCACCCCCGGAACCATCTTCAACTCCCTGCTCATGAATCTCTCAAGCCACCCAATGTCTTCCCAAGGGGCATGAGGCCACTCGAGACTGCCTATGGCAAGACACGACAGCCATCGCCTTGGCTCTATTGTAAAAACGCGATCATCAGCACGCTGAAGGCGTTCGTCACCTACGTCGGCAGCAACATCTCCCGGCCGCCCAGTCGACGTGCAGACAGGGCTGGCGCGGTTCTTAACCCACGTCGCGTTCAAGGCTGATGCGCGAGTCTCAGCAACACTCAGGGGCCCTTGATGCTACGTAGATCCAGCGGGTGCTGCGACGGCAGCGCCGTGATTCGCTGCTGGGCAATGACTGCAATGTCGAAAGCTAGGACGGGCACCTGCTGGACTCCAGGGTCGAAAGTCTCGAGGAGTTGATCCATCTTCACACGTTAGCCTTGGACTTCCAGTATCGGCAGCACACCTAAGTCAACCTCGACGTGATGAATGATCACATTAGCGGACTCATCGTCAAGGCACCCCAGGGCATCTTTCTACTGTCTACTGGCGGCTGCTCACTGACGAGGAGTAGCTGCTTGCTCGACGTCGCGCGCTCAGTTAATGCTGATATGCTATTCCGATGCCCCCGCTGCGCCTGACTGACGCCAACCGTCACCACGGTATGCTGCGGCCGTATCCGTTCGACGGCAGGCCGCCGGCCAACCGCAACATTGGTCCGCGCCAACCTCGACGAGGCGCTTACTGGGGTTATGTGGAAGGCAGCATGCCCCATGCCTGGGCCTGGTTCACGTCCGAGGAGCTTTGCCTTGAGGCCGCCCACGCCAGTATCTGGTGTTCGCCGCGCGACGCCACCAAGCGGTATGACGGGCAGGACACTGCAGCAATTGGCCAACTCGTGCTCGTCGTGCCGGCTTAAACATGATGAATTTTGCTTAATCAATGACGAGACAGCAGTTCAAACATGAAGCGGATAGCAAAGTCATTGAAGCAAACCAGGAAGTGCTTGCCCCATGTTTTGATATGTTCAATGTCTTTGTCTTTGGCGCGTTGATTGCCCAGCTTCATGTTGTTATCTTCATTTGTGACTGTCAACGAGGCCTTCGACTTCCTGCACGCACATCCCGGATCGATAATTTACATGCCCACAGAGGCCCACAGCGTCCCCTTCAGACTCACCAGCCCATTAGTACCATGAGCAGCTCCCGCCCGGGCAGCGCCACGACGCTGCCGTACATACCCGAAACAGGACTCACACATCGTCACCCGCTCCGCCGACCCAGACGGCGCATTTGGGCCCCGTTCGCAATGGCCCTATACCGTACCTAAAGGCCGGCCCGTTAGGACTCGAGCTTGGCCCCGGCTGCTGCGGTGCGGCTGCCTGGATCACTTTGACGGTTGGCGCAGGCCATGCACTTCCCACCTGCTTGAGGCACCATACTGAGCGGTGATCTCACTGGCGGTGCTGTTGATCCGGTAGCCTCTGGCGACGAGGTTCAGCACCTCGCCAGCCAGGATGTTGGCGATGACACTGGCACAGACCCCACCACCAACTACATCCTCAGCGACGCCTGGATCCCAGGCAATCCGAAGGCGCTCACCTTCGCGACGGTGCGCTCCGGTTCCTGCGATCGCTGCCACTGGCGCTCTACCTCCTTGACGATCTCGTCTGTCTAACGCTGAGGAACCTGGCGTGGGTACTGGAGATGACCAGCAAGCAAGGTGCTCACCTCGTCGAGACTGGACTTTGCGAGCCTGCGCGCCTTGTGCGTCGAGGTATCGCAGCCGGGTGCGCTCATATCTTATCGGCTGCTCAGGCAGTTAACCTCACCGCGAGGAGCTGGCCGGGGATGAGAAGGACGTGGAGATCCACCGCGTGATGGTGCGAGTCTTGCCTGTCCTGGCGCTGGTCGCTACGGTCGTCCATGTGATTGTGCCTGACTCCGCGAGCGGCAGCGTGGACCTTGATGGTTGCCGCCCAGGCCGGAGCATGCGGCCGTGGTGAATTTCTTCCCTTACAGACGCCAACGCCCGGTCCCGAGCAACCTCGAACCCGCAAGCGAAGCCCTCCGGGGTTGGTGGAACAGCAACCGCCAGGTCAAGATCGAGTTTAACACCGCCGGAACACTCGATCATCTCGCGTGAAGCATCGGTGGGCGGCATGACCGTTGAGAGCCTCGTTCGCGGGTCGAGCCCCCGCACCTAGCTTCCCGGGTAGCGTCATGCTCCGCCCACAGCACAGAAATCAAGCTGCCTACTTGGTGAGTCGAGCTCGCGCCGGAGAATGACGCCGCGACCTACCTGTCGCACAAGATGGGCGAGGTCCGCAATCGAGAGGAGGGTTGCCACATCCCACGTCTGATGATCCTCGGCAACCACGCCCTACAATGCGCGTACGGCGTGGGCGCGCCCTTGCAGCGGTCCAAGCCGCTGACCTGCATGCGAGTCATCCGCTGGCGACACGCCGTTTCCACCTCCGAGCCTATCGCCGATTTCATCGTCCTCATCGCGCTGGGCAACAGCGAGCAGGACGCGTTCGCGATGGTGACGCCCACCTCGACCACAGTTGTCTCCACAGGCACGTAGATGTCGCTGCGTGCAAACGCCTGCATCACGACATTCTCATGCTCCGACGCCATCTTGCCCTGCCTCTCGAACCCTCGCCCGGGTGAACTCGGCCGGACGTCGCTGCAAATCCTGATGAAACACGACAGGCTCGAGTGTACTTCCCTGCTGGACTTCCACTACCATCTCACAGATCCGATGCAGAAACTCTGTGACATGATCTCTGCGATCTTCATCACTCAGTTCCGGCTCTGCGCAACCTTGTTCGTGGCACTGAGTCCATCTATTGCCTACTGTGAAATTGGGCCAAGCCAGTATTGAGACCGTCCACCAAGGCCGCAGCGCGTTCCAACGCGGCCTCAACTCCAGATTCGTCCGCTCCAACAGCTTACGGGTACGTTCTCTACCCTTGCTAACCGTAAAAGCCCTCGCGTGTGCGGGTTGCCACACCCAAGACCCGCTGCGCTGCTCTCTCGGTGGCTACCGCAGCGTTAGGAGAGTGGACCAGGTCACGGTTATTTCCCCATCAGACCTTCTCACATTTGACACACGATGAAGTCGTCTCTTTCCAATATCCCAATCTGAAGGTTTGGTATTCGTATGGCATTTCATTGACTCGTGGTTCATGATTCATGCTAGCTTCACTACGACCAGCTGCGGTTGTGATCTCGTCCAACTCCATGTTCTGTCCTAGCACAGGTGGCAAGGTAATTGACTGTTCCAGATAACTGATGTTACACAATCATCACCGGTCTTCGCCAGGCCCTACAATGGTTTCCTCTTCCTGCTTCATCCTCTCCAGATGGCCCTCCAGCGCCTTCTCAAATTGCGCCAGCATCGTGTCCCTACTCTCGTGCAGCCTCTGCGACTTGGCCGTCAGGCTCTCGATCTGTCGCGAGGCCTTTCGCTTCCTGGAGGCGGCCGCTTTGAGGTCCTGCTCCAACTCTCCAAGGCCTCTGGCATCCTCGTCCTCGTCGTCCTCCCCCGATTCCTCTTTACGGTCAAAACCCTGCACGTCTCCTCTCATGATTGAACTGACGCGAGCATCGATGTCCTTCTTGTATGTGAGCATTGCAGAGGTCTCCGACTGCGCTACCTCCTCCCACTCCGACTTCTTGGCCGCACAATCGTCCTGCACCGCGTCCAGCTTTGACCTGGCAGCCGATATTTTCTTGGCTATATCTTGACTCTTGGGGTCAGGCTCGTCCGTTGACGGCTCTTGGGGAGATGTTGTGCGTTTCGCGGCCGCGGAGGATGCTCGTGTTCCCATGTCGACCGTGTCAGTGTCGCCGGAAAGCTCGGAGTCGTCTCCGTGTTGTTGCTTGTCGCTTTCGTTGTCCGAAGACCCGTCAAAAAATCCGGAGTCGTCGTGTTGTAGCTGGCTCTGACGGCGTCCTGTCTTGCTGGTTTCTTGCTCGTCGGCTCGTTCTTTGAGTCGCTGCTCCTTGACGCGCTGTTGTTCCTCGACTTGACGCCGCTCGTCCATTAGACGATAAAGCTCCGCGACTCGACGGTGCTTCTCGACTTGCTGCGGCTTCTCGACTGGCCGTTGTTCCTTATCTTGCTTGCCTTGCTTGTCCTGCTCGCCTCGCGTGTCGGGCTGTTGGTTCGTGCCTCGGGCTAGAGGAGGACAGAAAGGTTAGCAGACGAAGATCCCAAGCTGAAGCAATGGCGTTTGCAGATGTGACGAACCAGTCAGAGCACCACAGGCGATCTCAAATTCCCGAGGACCGAAGGACTTTTCCAGGTAATGTTTTCCGCGGGGTTGCTGCTCGCGAATCCGGCGGAGCTCGACGAAGAGTTGGCGAGCTGAGATTGCCGAACCCGGAGGAAGTTTCTTCCAACAACGCTGGGACTGGACCGATGCACCGAACCAGAGGTAGAGCAGCCAAATTTCGTCGAGACCCAGGCGGTGGGCTGCTGATCTCCTTCGGCCTACTTCCTCGCGGGAACACGACTCCTCGATATGCCGCCACTGTGTCGCGAAAGCAGCGCGTACGAGCGTGAGGAGATTGTGCTGATTGCCGAAGGTCTGCGTCAACCAGTCGGCGAAGGGCGTGGTGATGCCAGAGGCGATGAACGCGGTGCAGATATTTTCCCAATACGCAGCGAGTGCGGTGTCTGACCGAAGGATCGCTTGGGAGGCGGAAGAGACGGCGGCGTGAAGGGGGCCGATGACGGTAGTTTCGGACGGGGGGTTGTCTGGCGCAAGTCGGGCAGCTCGAGGTCGCAGTGGTCGCGAAGTGTTGGCTCCTGAATTGCGCATTTCGTGCCCAGGAACACACAAAAAAAGACAACAATGAGGAGTAGAAGTGGCCAGACTAGCTGGCTGGGAGCCGAAAAAGAGGGATGTCGATGTCAAGAAAAAAAGCTCTTCGACCTGGACAGCAAACAAACATACGGGTGACGGCAGGCAACTGCGATGGTGAGGCGCCGCGGCAGGAGCTTTCCCTGGCGGGGCAGCTCTGGGTGGTAGGGGTCCCTGCCTGGCTACCTTATCTAGATCTAGATAAGATACCTTGAGGTGACCGGGTGTGGTGCCTGTGGATGGCCAGGCAAAGGTACGGCCCCATCCGGCTTAGATAATCAGCTGCGAAAATGTACCACAAATGTGGTACATTTTGATTTTGAAGCTGCCAGGAAGGTACGCCCGACCGGGCGCCTTCATACGGAGACTCGTTTGATTCCCAGCGTGAAAATTGCCTTGTGTCTCGCCTTTTATCGCCCTGCATTGCAAACGCACTGTAAGAAGCGCTGTTCTCCGCCCTTTAGGGTCGTTTTGTCTCTGCGGCAGATGTACTCAATTGAATGTTCATTTGAAAGGAGGATTCCTGCGCTCGCAGCATGCGTGGCGAGTGGGGAAAAGCGTGAAGCTATTCCCAGATTCGATCTCGGGCAGGGAACACCTTTTCGGGACACTGAGGCACCATAGCGGGTGGACTCCCTCATCCCCCCGCAATGGAGGGCCCCCACCCTTTTTGGCCAGGTTCCATTGGTGTCGCAAAACTTGGCCGACATCCTCAGAGTGCAGTGGAGAGAGGGTCTTGAGAGACAGACATTCTGGCCCGTCCAGGAGGTTGAAGTCCACTCGTACTGAGGATGCTGCAGCCTTATTTCGCGCCCATCTACTCTGTAATGCACCATCGGGGTGCAGCAAAGCAAGGATCGTGATGCTGGAGCTGCAGGCCCTGGACAGGATCGATCAGCTTATCTTATCGCCGACTACCCAATCCTATGGCCGATCGGCCCCAGTTTCTGATGTTCTCCACAACGCGGGAAGGGTAACCGGGAAGAGGTGCCGCTTCTGCAACGTCACGATGGAAACATGCATTCTGTCCTGGAATGCATCTTCCGGGATGCTGGTTGAGAGGGTAAGTATGGTCGAATATCACGAGGCGGACGAAACAAAACCAGAAGGAGAATTGAATCGTCACAGCGGCACTGAATTTGAGGTAAGGTACGGGCAGAATGACATGACCTGGCATGACTTCCTTCAGGCCCATTGCATCGGCGATGGACTACAACACCTTCCGCCGCTGCAGTCCGCTGCTTTGACGTCAACCTCTCCACGACACCCTCTCCTCAACAACCTTCCCTCGACAACCTCACATCGACACCCTCGCCTTGGCAAGGATATGTCGCCACGACAGTGTTTGTCGACTTTTCTTTGGCAAGCCGTACACCACAAGTTTTGACATTAGCTCCGCCTCGAGAAGGCTGCATCCACAACCTCACATCTCCAGAGTCGCATCAACAACCGCACCTCGACTACCGCATTTCTTTTGTCCGCGGCTGCTTCGACCAACCCCACCTGCACAACATCATCTCAACAACCTAACGTCACCTCCACTGCCAATGTCGGTAGTCTTCTGTCCTCCGTATGCCTCGATCTGGTTCATGTCAGCAAGCGTCTGATTTCGCCGACATGCGAACGAGAAGCCAGACATCACCAACGCTCCACGTCCAAGCTGAGGCCCGCCTCCTTCAAGAGAAGGTCGACTCTTCCATCCTCAACATCGCCAACTTCAGCAACGAAGTTACGCGCCTCGCGGAAAAATACAAAACCACGCATACTCTGGACCAAATCATCGCACTCTTCCCTGAAAAGACCCAAGACATACTTTCAGGACTCCTCAAAATCACCCACAACAACATCCCCAGCCTCGTGGACCATCTTGCCACTGCATAGGGTGTGTCGCCAGACGAAGTTCGCACGAAGTTTGACGGGTCTTCCAGCGTGCGGTTGTACATCGAATTGAAAAACCGTGCGGCCTGCTACCCCCTCGACAAGGTTATCGACGCTTTGATTGAGGCTCGGGGCATCAGAAAGGCTGGGTTAGCAGGTGCCGGCATCAGCAAGAAAAAGCTTTGGGTCCCATCTGACGTCAAGAGAGCGGAGGAGATTCTCCAACGCGACCAGAAGTCCGCACCTGTTGACACCAAGCTTCTCGTCGGCGATATCCCCGATATCAAGAGTTCCGAGGGTGATTCCGGTCCCATGAGCGAAAAAGAAACTCTCATCGAGAACGTGGGCCACACGGCCGTGAAACTTGAATCCGAGCAGCAAATCGAGGAAGGCGATCAGCAAGTCGAGGAAGACTACCACGTCACATCTTCAGTTACACCTCATAACTGCACCAAGCTGGACGACGAGCACGACGGCTACATGGAAACAGCCGTGCCGCCCGTTGAGAACAGCCGAAGGTGTCTGAAAAGGCGAGACACGCATTCATGGGCAGAAGATCCATTCTATCAGTGCCTCACAGTCATTTCCAGCAAGGATAGAGAGCCCGCGACGCCAAAGTTCCGGGAAAGCTCGTTAAACCTGCTTCAATTTTCTCCTTCCCCATTACACATCGAATACTCCACAACCACGCCTCGTGCGTGTTCGTCGCCTATCCCCACCAGCCAGAATTCTCCGTCACCAAGCCCGTCCCCCCGGCAAGAGACGGCGATACTAGAAATGGAATTATCAGAGGTGTCGGAATCGCAGGTGAAGGTGTCGCAGATGGCTCCAGATTCGAAAAGCTTCGCAAGCCTTGCTCCTGGAACCGAGCTCACTGGGGCAACCATGGTAACCTGTCTCCAGATACTCCTCGGAGCTGTTGCTTCATCCAAATGGTCCATGATTCCCTCGGATTTTGATGTGGCGGAAGCTGGGGTCTACGAAGAGGACTTAGAGGGCGCCGAGAAGGTTCTGGTTCCATTGCACATCGAAAACCCCAAGCATTGGGTCCTTCTTGCGATCAGGCCAGACCCTCCAGAAGTGGAAGTTTTTGACTCAATGTCCGATGTGTCCTCGTGGAAAAAGAACATCGAAGCATCCGTCGGCAACCTTTGCCGCGGTCACCTCGGCAAATTTCTCGGTTCGCGCACGCCGACAGTGGTATATCGGCAAAGTCTGCAGCAAGTTGGAGACAAAGACTGTGGGGTTTACACCCTCGTCAACGCCGCCTACCTGATCGCAGGAAGAAGGGCCCCCGTAAACACCGACCCAAATGTGTGGAGAAAAGCACTTGCCTCCTTTGAGTACGGATCTGCCCTTGACGCAGAGGATGCCCCATGGAGGCTCCGTCCAGAGCTCGACTTGGCGGGTTACGACGAAAAGGAAGACATGTTCTACGCCAGGAAAGGGCAACGCGTCACCGACGACGATTGGTCTGCGTCGAAGGCCAGTCGAAAGGCATACGAGGACCATGTCGACAGAATTCTGCTGGAGTCCCGCACACGAAACCTTCACGAGCTCGAGAATCACCACAAGGACATTCGTGAAGTGTTCGCCGTACTGCACGATATTCTGTCCACGACAACGCCAGCACAACGTGAAAAAGAGAGCGAGCATCTGTCTCAGGAATACGCCGCTCGAGCAGCCATTCTCTCTTCGTTAGAAGATATCCCGAACCCGACAATCGAGGATAAATTGTATAGGGAGAAAGTGAAGGCTCGGCGGAGAGCTTGTTTGAAACGGCTCAAATCGGTACAGATGTCAGGCCGGGCGCTGAAAGCAGCCGAGCGCCGACTGCAACTCGAGCTCGAGGATGTTGTCGAGCGGCAGCAAAAAGTGAAGAAACGAGGGGTAGAAGCCGAGACGTGAGAGTGCTTGGGACATAGATTACACGGGTTTATGGTATTGACTTGCTTATCTGTTTGGGAGGCGCACACAATGCGGGAGACAACGGTATGCGGGAAGAACCATCTTAGGAGTGAGATATGAGCTTTAAATTGATACCCCCAATCGTACGCAACTTTGGTCCGCTTGAATGGAGCATGATGTTGTGGATGTATTGCGCGGGTGTGATCTGATTGCAAATATACTGTTCACGCAACGAACCAGTAGCGTGTTATTGACGTCCTGTCTCTAGACTTTTTCTGGGGTTTTCACACCTCAAACATGATGAAGTCGTGAGGAATTGCTTCCCGCGGGTGGGGCAGGATCCGAAAGACACAAAATGCTGTCAACGGCGGGGATGACGAAGTGGTGGACGCCAACCTCACCACACCTTCTTGGGACTCTGGCACTGCTCTCTGCTCCCTCGCCACTCCTTGCCCCCCATTGAAGTTGGCGGTGAGTTATGGCGTGTTCACGCGACGGACATGGATGAGTGCGGAAATGAGGCCCGGCATGGGCGTCAAGGATAGGAACGATACTCTGCCGCATTGTTCGCTACTTGGAGCAAAGGGGGTCCAGTCCCTACGCAGAACATCACACCGGAGAAACGTCGAAAAGCCTCCGTTGAAGAGTGACACTTGCATTGCCAGCATACCTATTATGTGTCCCGGACCAGATGACAGTGGCCGCGCATTCTTGCGTGGCTTGCAGCACCGCTGACGCGCGCAGGACTGAGGCGTTGATGAACACACAGAGGCGCCGCTTGTGGTCGGCGGCGATCCCGGGGGAGGGGGGGTTCTTACGCCATTAGCCGGCATACTTCGAGACATTCGACACACGCAAGGTCCGCCAACTGGGATTCAACCTTGGAGAAGCCCAAAGGCCATGATGCAAAAGTAAACTTGGCCAGATGGCATGGTTTCTAAATGGCAGGATGCTTGAAAGCCATGCTGAGAAGACTGAGACGGCTAGAAGGACCCGATTTAAGCTATCGCAGAGATCAGGATGCAAGACGTGGCAGTGAATACAGCCCGGGCAGCGCTCTAGTCCTCATGCAGGCGACACAATGGGTGCTGGCGTTGGGATCAAGCCATGTTGATGAGCAGTTGTCAGCTGCCATTACCAGCGCATCAGCTTCGTCGCTCAATAATTCGAAGCGACTTGCGAGTCTGATATACCCACGCTGATGTCTTGATGCCAAGCATGTCCCCATTCCACGCATGTACCCATTCCATATCCCGGTCGCGGCCGCCCTCACTGCCGTGCCGTCATTTGTCGACGGCGCCTGTAATTCAATCCAAGGTTATACTATCAGGACATCCAATAAGCTTGCTACCCGCTGCGGTGGTGCAATTAGCTGGACGCAGATTGCCGTATGTGGTATCGAGACTAATGAGTCAGCAACTGAAGTGTACTACCACATGCTAGCTTCGAACAAGCGATGGAATTCCCTTAAATAAATAGAACATAAGACGATGAAGTCTGACCTGTCCTCGTAAAGTCTGCTCCGTGACTTCGCCGAGAGCCAGTTCACCGCGATTGCTAGCCTTTCCGCAATCTTCCCGTCCCATGTGTAAATCTCCCGGCTGAAAGTTGACATCGTCCACCCAGGCCGACTTCTAGATGATCATGGGAACGAACGAAGACATAGTAACTTAAAACGGACTGTTAAAAGTGCCGTCTCGAAGTTTGCAAGGTATTGTTTGACGGCATCAATGTCTCTACTGTTGATGGATTATTGTTGATTAATTATGCACGGCTTGTATTAAAAGCAGTAATGGTGCTCGAATTTCTGAGTTCGAGCTCACTTGTTGGTGATTCTTTGCCTCACATTCCAGGTCATCGGGCCTAAGAGGAGGCTTTTGGTCCGGTCAGCGAGCATATGAGGATGTGCGTGGCCGGTCGGCAGAGGACATGAAGTGAACGGGGTTCGAACGCAACGCCGCTTCCACACCTGTGATGCTGATACCTGATAGGACAAAGGTACGCGCTGAAATTGCCACTGCAGGTTCCGGCGCCTGACTCTAAGATAAGCTTCGCCGGTTTATGTTAGGCGAAACTTGGGGCACACCGGCAATTCTCCGGACGTGTGGGGACGTGAATCGGGTGGGCTCCGACCGGGCCGGATGTTCCTGCCCCGCTTTAAAGAAATCAGCATCGGCCCCACAGTTCCATCAACGGGTGGCCTGTGCTTGTTGCCCAGCCAATCCCAAATGTCTCATCTCGTACGACACAACACCCTCCACCTTTCATCTTCACACCCTCACGATCCCATCTCGCACTGCCTGCCAGCACCTTTTCGACGCATGACGATGCGCGAGCCGTCTCGAATTCTATCGTGGCTAGCTGCGATTCCCGAGCAACCCCAAAATCCGACCTCAGAGCAGCAGCTCACACCCCCGACGCGCAAGCGCAAGGCCTGCACTGCAGAGCTCGACCAGCATCTCGGCTTCAGTCGACCCATCTCCCCTCCCTGTTCCGATACCTCGAGGCCTGCCCGCCCCCACGCAATCGCTATGGACGATTCCGAGGCCTCGCAGGCTCGACAGCTTTCAACTCCTCAGCGACCCGATCGATCCGAAAAGCGACGTCATACCGGCGATGCTGCGGATGATCATGGCGAGGTCGACGTCGAGACAACGCCAAGACAACCCGTATTCCAGGTGCCATATCTGCCGCCATTCCCCTCGAGCATCGCATCTCCCCAAATATCTCCCACGCAGTCGACAGCCGAATCACAATCTGGACACTCAGAAGCATCCTCCAAACAGTCCTCTGCGAAGCGTCGCCGGCAATCCGGAAGTCCTCGCAAGCAGAAGATGATACTCGAGTTCGAAGGAACTGTTGTAGATGCCAACATAGATGGGGAGGAGACTCCCCCGGAGGCGTTGAACCGTTTGATAGGCGACATGAGGAGACTTGCTGATGGACAGGGGTTTATACACGAGTCGGAAGAGGTATTTGGCCTCAAATGCAGTATTCAGATGGGTACACCTGCTAATCTGCCAATTGCAGCCGGCGATTCTCGAGGCGAAGCAATCACGTCCAAACATGTTTCAGTGGGCCAAGGATGCCGTTTTCGCACGCTCTCGACCCTCACCAGCCCGAGATACACTAGCACAAGCAGACACGGGCGTCCGCCCAGCCTCTGATCCCGAACTTTCGACAACGGTCGATGACGCGACAGAGAGGCGAGCATTGGGGCCGACACCGCGACTGCACGAAGCGCTGCGCCTGTGGCATGCTGCACAGCGAGCAGAAAAGGGACACGGAGAAGACCAGTGGAACTGTGCTGTCCATTATCCCATGCTAGAGCTAGCACTTGGCCACGACAAGGCTGTCGGATACTGTAGCTGGTGAGCCTCTTCTTGGTAGACTTTGAATTTCCCAGCTTCCTCCGCTGACACCATGAACAGTACTTCCGCGCCCCTGACCAAGGAGTACGCCCCGAAGACGACCACCAGCCTCCCGCGCGACCGACGAGTCGATTTCTGCATCCACATCGAACCTGACACGCCGCAACATGTGATTCCAACCGTCCTCCGCAGTCCCTCGCAGTCCATCAACCACACCGAATACGCAGCATTACTGCACAAACCCATCGGCATTGCCATCGAGACCAAGCTGACAGGGGCCGATTGGGAAACAGCAAGGACCCAGGTTGGCATCTGGCTTGCTGCGCAATGGAACCGCCTTGATGACCTGGTTTGGAGCAGGGGCATCGGTGTTGAACACACCTCTCCCGCTGTCGCTGCTGGGCTCGTATTCCTGCCAGCAGTCATCATTCAGGGACACCAATGGTCCTTTGTTGCCTTTACGCGTGACAGGGATGGCGTTGCTAGACTGTGGTGCCAGCTGCCGTTTGCTTCGACACAGAGTGTCAAAGGCGTCTACCAGGCTGTCGCTGGTCTCCAGCTGTTGAGTCGATGGTTGCGGGAAGAGTATTGGCCTTGGTTCCGTCAAATCATCCTGGGACTATGAGGCAATGTGGTATGAGATAATGTGACATGAATGATGATGGATTATGATGGCTCTTTGAGTTCTGCGGTAAAATCTTGCGAAGGAAGGCCATCCTGCCCTTACTGGACCAAGGCATTGGTCAAGAGACCGAGAGTGTTCGGGGGCATCGGAAGGATTTAGGGGGAAGGATGGGGTAGATGACAGCTTCGTCTAAGAGCATTTAGTCTAATAGACACAAGTCAAGAGCACTTAAAGTCTCCATCAAACGTCCCGTGAACAAAACTGTCCTCGCCTGCTATGTACTGCACTTGGGGCTCAGTTCCTTGACCTGCATGCTTGTCAGAGCATCCAAGCACCATCCTCGAAGTTAGGTAAAGCGCCGCCCTCGTACTCACAGCTATCGACATCGCCAACCTCAGCAAACGCCTCTTCGCCCGTTCCTCCTTTTTCCCGTGTCCTAAATCTCTGCGTCCCGGTCGGCCTCGATCTCTAGCTCAAGTCTCCGCAACCGCCCAACTATGTAAGTGGCGCTGCTCAGTCCGGATGACGCCTCCAGGCTCAGAGCAGCCGCCCCGGCCGTACACAGCGCCTCTGCCTCCTCCATCTCGATGTCCACCCTGGGATGGTCGTTCGTCCGTCACCGTTGCATGGCTACTTGGGTATCTCGCTGAAATCGGCAGACTTGTCCTCGAAGTCGGGCCGCGGGCTGGGTTGCAGCTCACAGGCTGGGCGCAGCGGGAGCTGTTGTGCCGCTATCTTGATCACCGTTTTGGACATCGCCAGTGGTGTCTGCGGTGCCCTCTGCCGAATGCCGTGCTGTCTCAACTGGAACGCGCCGCATGTTCTGCTTGACTTTTGTTTTATTTCCGAAGGACGGTCAAAGTTAGCCCTGGACGGTCTCAGACATCCCACGGCAAGGCAGCTGACGTGAAAGGCAGAACGACCACAAGAAGATGGCAACTTGAAGCATGGGGATGGGCTCGTGTCGGATAGGAAGTATCCATCATAACCATTGGAAATACCACTACTCGACGACGCAAATCCCGTGCGAATGCTGTTGGAAGCTCGACCCGCAGCACCCATCAAGCTTGCGCCCAGGTTCGGAGCCCAGATCGGCACCCAGACGGACCCTCAGACGGAACCCTGGCTGGCTTGAAGGCAGAACCAACGCCAGTAGGAGAGCTTATCGGGCCATTAGCAGAGCTTGTCTTGGCAAAAGTGGAGACTATCTGGCCAATTAGAGAGGTTGTGTGACACACAAGCTCTGTCATTGGTCCGACCAGCTCCGCCATCTCGAGTATTAAGCCGGGTACCTAGTAGTCGGATGCTCGCCTCGCATATCCACCAAGCCGCCTGGGCTTATTAGCCCTGGGGAGGTGGTCGCTGGGGCCCACGTGCGGCGCCGTTGCTTGCCGAGACTCTCCTGCGGCAGTTCGGGGGGCCACTGAGATGTGCGACTGATGTTGTGAGGGACATCCGGCCTGGCAGCGGAGGCGATGGAGCTCGCAGCCGCTGCCAGTTAGGGGACATCGATGGAGCCCGATGATGCGTTCTTGGATGGCAGAAGGGAGGCGTTGCCAGTCGCCGCGGCCCTCCGCGCTCTGCATCAACTCCACGGCGAAACTGAGCTCTTCTTCCGGGACCCCGATGGTATGCCTCCGAAGGCGAGCTAGCGAATGGTCGGACTCGCTGTGGCGGTTGCCGCCACCGGCGTCGTCGTATTCGGCATCGTCCTCATGCTTGGGGGTGTTGAAGGCGTTCATGATCGTGGCATGGAGCGCCGTGTCTGTCGGGGGAGTCGCCTGCGGAATCATTGGAAAGGTCAGTAATCGTTGGTTTGCCTTTTACCTACTCGATGAAGGGAAGAAGAGAGGAAAGCTATGAACCTACGTGAATGAAGAGCAGCCGACTTCCGTCTTGTCGTTTCTTTCAACCCAAGGACCGAGTGTCTGTACTTCTTGACTGGAAAGGAGCAGAAAAGCTCTGCCTGATCCTCCATCACGCATATCCCACAACAAACGATCCCGTTTGGGACCGGCCGGGTCAACATCAGCCCGTTTGGCAACCGTCTGCCATCCAAACCCATAACCTGCGCCTGTGGGCGGATTCTTGACTGCTCGTGAAGCAGACATGTCAGACATGGCGTCGCAGCCGCGGTCTTGGCCTGTTTGCACATCGCACTTGCTCCACAATGCTTTCGCCTCGTCCCCGGCCAAGATCAAGAACGTACGGACATAGACGATGGAGCCAACAGAGACGAGAATACAAACGCACCCGAGCCGGCCACACCGCCGCTCGCCCTACTTCATATCGGGCGGACTGCAAGACGTGCCTCGGATGTACTGATGGCAGCCTGCGCGACATTGGCGAGGGGATCAATCCCCCGGAGCAGGTAACGGATGAGCGGCGGACGGTATCAGAGGCAGCATGGTGACTCGTTTCGAATCCTAGCCTGGGGAAACAAGTCAAGAAAGAAAGGGTGCGCCATGATCTCAATCCCGACATCAAGGCCAACGTCTTCGTGTGTGCTGACGACGTGCATAACATCTGACTTCACGACAGCTGTAGACATCTTCCTACCAGTGGACTCGGCAGGCTCAGGCTCGGGCTCGGGCTCGGGCTTCTTCTTGGTGACTTCGGGCCCTGCAAGGGCAGCAGCATCACGGCCTGGGCCGGGCTGAAGACCGGCGCGGCGGTGCTGCGGGACGGTTGAGCCGGCGCAGGCAGTCTGTATTGTCCTTCAGCGTCCAACCACCCACAGATGCCATTACTAGCAGGGTGGTTAGATTTGGCCCTGCTTCAGTCTGCTGTCACGTCTTGCTTCCGAGATCCAGCAGCATCGCAGTGTAACATCGGGATAATTAAGTGCGCCCCCCTCATAGTGCATGCTTTTTAGTTCAGCTTGAACAGAAACAACCTGAGCTGTAGTGCACAAGGCAAAAGGCATGGGTGTCAATCTATCTCAGCTCGCCGCGGCCTACCACACCGCAGCGCGCGCATCATCTTGATGCTCGAGAACGCGCTCCATACTTTTCAGTAGGAGTCCCTATCGTGCATGGAGGGCCTGTCATACTCTTGCTTCTCATCGCTTTCTTATCAGGTTATCCGAATGTAGTATCAACCGCCTGAGGCCTTTGCCCGAATCAGGAGGAGAATCAAGCCGACGATCTAGAAAGTGAAGCAAGAGGAGCGTTCGTGCAATTGGATGATCAGTGGCTCCTGCAAGACTACCTGCCGAACGATGAGTTAGCCGGATGGGACGTTGTGAAGCCCGTTTAGTCTTGGACGGAGTACTCGCCACTCAGCTATCCGGAATGTTCCTGTACGGGACCTGCAGAACGATCTTATCGACACCCCGATTTGTCGAGGGTTTGCCGTGGAGCGAGGATACGGCGTGTCTTCAGCAGCGCCGGCAAACAGAACTCGGTAAGCTTCATCCGTCTGAAAGAAGACGATGAAGGGCTTGGATGAAGAGGAGATGACACGTGGAAAGATGAATGCTGGCGTAGGTGGTAAATCTCTTTTGCTCCCTTGAGGACCACTTGGTCTGGACGTAGACTGTCAGTAGAATGTCAGTCAAACTGTTGGACAGCGATTTCATCTTTGACTTTGCGACAGTTTGTCAACTTCACGCCCAACTTGGCCAATTCCACTTCACACCTTCACTGAATCCGCATCCGAGTATTCAGACAACAAACGAATGGAATGCATTATATGGTAAATAACCGGTGCAAGAGCGCTAAAACAGAAGAGCGCTAGAAAAGCAAAGAGCGCGGGGCGGGGAAAGCAGACAGAGAAGAAAAAACAACCTAAAAGAAACCTGCTGCCGCAACAGCAATTACTCGTCCTGCCCCACCCCTTTCTGGTACAGCTCGGCCGCTGCGGCGACAATCGAGGCCGAAGCTCGGAACCCCTTCACAATCTCATAGTACACACCGCTCGACCACTCGCCCCTCGGCTTGGGCAGCTCGAGGATGGTCTGGGCAGAGCGGCGCCAGAGGGTGACCCAGTCGGCGGCCTCGACGTTCTCGTCCTCCTCCTCATCGTCCCAGGACGAGTTCTAGTCGTTGGGGATGGGGCCAGGAAGCGCAGAGAGGGGTTCCGGGAGCGCCGGCTGCTTGCCCTTGAATCTGGCGATTGGGCTGTCGTCCAGGATGGGACCGAGCTCCTCCACGTCAGGAGCGACATCGTTGGAGCGGCCCCGTGCGTTCTCGGCCTCTTCTTCGTCGTCGGTCTCGACGGAGGGCTTGGCGGCGTCAGGAGTGGTGGTGGTGGCTCGAGCCCGTTTGGATGGGGGCTGGTAGGCGGCGTCTGGGTTGAGATGGCGCTTCAGGGGTCGGGCCAGAGCGGAAGCGACGCGGGGAGCGTGGGAGGAAAGGCGACCGGCCAGAACGGATGCCAGGGGAGAGCTTCGGGGGCGGAGCTCGGGGGGTTCGGCGCGGGCCGAGCTGCCATGCTGAAGGGGGTGCTCGAGCGGGGTGCCGTAGTTTGAGGGCGGCGGAGGCGGCGTGTCGTAGTTGGAGGGGTCTGAGGCCGGAGTGCCGCTGCGGGAGACGGCTGGGGTGGAGCGGCGACTGGCGGAGCCTGGCTCTTCGCCGGGACGGAGATCTGCAGTTATTGTTAACGTTCAAGTCCATAGCGTGGGTGCGGATGGAGTGCTGGTGATTCAAAGCCAAGTAGGGTATGTTTGTGCCGGGTCTGGTAATGTATTGAGTCCCTGCGGGGATAGCTCGTTTTAATAATTAGACCTGATGAATGATTTGATTAGGGATAATTATATTCTGCGGATGCTGTGAAGTAATGATGTTGAGGGGGTTTTGAATGTGATGCTAAGCTTCAAGCTCAGCTAGACAACGTGATGGTGTAGAGGGAATGGGTTGAATGAACGAACTCACCTCGGAACGCAGTCTCAATGTCGACGGGGAGAAGCTCAGGCGGCGTGGACTCGGGTTTCTCGCCCAGCTCGTGTCGGTCGATGGCGGCGGCGGTGATGGCGTCGAGGACGGCGTCGAGGGACTTGCGCTTGGTGGGGTCTCGGGCCTTCAGCAGCGAGTTGATGTTCTTGATGGCGTTCCACGATCGTGGGATGTCGGCGCCCGGCAGCAGCATAAGCATCTCCTCGTATTGCTGGCCCATGTTGCTCTTAAGGGCCTGGAGGCGGCGTCCGCTCTCTCCTTGCTGGCCGCGAGCCCACACGCCGTCGTCATGAAAGACGAGCTTGGCGACCGTCTCGAGCTCGTCCTGGGAGAGCTGGTTGCGCAGGAAGCGGTGCCATTGGCGGACGTCCAAGCCGGGGTCGGCAGTCGAGGAGGAGGCCTGGCCGGACTGGGCTTGGTAGAGGAGACGGGCATGGTGCCACCAGGCGTTGTGCAGGGCGCGGAAGGTCCGGGGAGCCTCGAGGGGGTTGGCGGGGCTATTCGAGTAGATGGAGGCGAGTTGGCGGAGGGCCGACAGCGGCTCTCTGACACCGGGCTCGGTCTCGATTCGCTGCCGGGGGTGCATGATGCTGTCGGTGGAGATGGTGGTTGAAACTGGGTGGGAGATGGGCAGAAAGGAGCGCAGACAAACCGAGAGCCGGGGAGAATGAGAGAACAAGCACAGCAGAGTCGGAGATCGAATCGCAGCACAGAAAGGAAAGGAGAAGCGGCCAGGAGACAGAGTCAGACGTCGTCGTCGAGGGAGATCCAATGCAACGGCTGCACCTTCCGGATGGCTTCGCTTTCGGGCTTGCACCTTCGGGTCTGCACCCTGCACCCCCGGCCGCACTTTGCAGCGCATCTCCCGTCGTTTTTGCCTTTGCAACTTCCATATCAGCCCTCGGAGGTGCAGCACCCAGGAACGGGTGCAGAAACGTAAGCAACCTGGTTCCAGGAAGGAGCATGACCTGACCTTCCTTCGTCTTTCCTTCCTCACCTCAATCTCTTCTTCTCCTTCCCAACCTCCATCTTCTTCCAAGTTCGACCTCCATTCAGCCTTACGACAACTTCCACTCTCTTGTCTAGGCGCGATAGCTGCTAAAATCAGGCATCATCTTTTCAGACACTGCGGCGGTATCATCGAGCAGGCAGTCATCGCTCGACGACGGCCGCAACCCCGAAGCCATCACGCAAACATCCCGTCAAGCGAGGGACTCCTTCTACGAAGAGTTCAGCATGGACAAAGGACCGTCGAAACGTCCGTCCGCGCCAGTCGCAGGCATGACCCCCTCCGATACAGCGACCGCCAGACCAGACCCTGACCACTGCCTAGGACCCACGCGCGGTTTTGATCGCTCCGAACATGCTGCCGACAAACGAGACGTGAAGCCCGCGTTTCCCCGAACCAATACGCCGCCACCCGAAGCAGGCACGAAGCCCAAGACCAAGAACTACACCGCACGACGGAGACTGCTCCTGTCGTACTGCGAGACGATCGTGTCCGCCGAGACGTGCGTCAGACGGGGAATGCCTTCGGCCATCGCTGACGATTCCGACGATCTCGTCGACGCGAAGCTGTTGGAGCTGCTTGAGGTTGCTCGGCAGGCCATTGATTTGGAGAAGGAAACGAAGAGCAATTCACCTTGAATTGCGTTGGAGCAGGATGAAAGGGGGAACTGGCAACCAGACATTGTACCGTCGAGAAAGTTTCGAGCTCACCCAGTAGGGGTGTTCACAGTAGGGGAAAAGGCCATAAAAGCACGTCTGCCAGGAAGCATAAGGAAGGCATGAAGACCAGCAGCTCAATTTGACCGGATTGATTCCGTCGATGTCCCCAACTTCAATCAGAGTGAGGCACTACCAGACTCTGAGGGGTAACTCGGTTTGTTCACCTGAGCCAGCCCCGTCACGTACCACAAGCCCGGCGCATGCTTATCGGCGAAGGCACCAGATACAATTTCTCCCCTCGTCGCACTTGCGCGCCCCGTCAAAGGGAAGAATCATGCTTGCTAAGCAATGGAACCAGCAGAATGAAGTCTGCTGGGTCAATCGCCACGCTTCGCGGGGTATTCCAGCCACATATGGCGGGGTGACTCAGCCACCCCCACTTTCGAGGTTGTCTTTCACACAACCTCTCCCATTGGCCAGACTGGGCTAGGTAGGTGGGGTGATTCCCGATCAGGTTAGGTCTGAGACTCGGGACTCGGGAGATTGTCCCCGGACTGGAGCTTCAGTAAGGCACCTTACTGTGGCGCTTTGCTGCCCATTATGCTTCTTCTACTGAGGTATCGACCGAGCAGACCTTTGACAAAAACATTACACTATGAGGTTTCTGGCGGAGCTGGTCGGACCAATGACAGAGCTTGTGTGTCACACAACCTCTCTAATTGGCCAGATAGTCTCCACTTTTGCCCAGACAAGCTCTGCTATTGGCCCGATAAGCTCTCCTAGTGCCCAGACAAACTCTGCCAGGCAGAGACGGCATCATCGCGTCGACCAACCCCGATTATCATGGCGCTGATCATGTGTAGCATTCGAATGGCAACCATCTCGTCCGTCCGTGCAAGGTCTGCATTGCATCCTGGTTGCGTGGTTCCCGAAAGACACCGTCATCCCCCGGAGTCACCGAACGCCAGCGACGGATGTCATGTGTCGTCATTTCTTCCCCGTCGCGGTCCCATGGCAATTTCGCCCTCGCCCGGGTCAGCAGCTAAAGCTTCTTCTCTCCCCTCCCCCACAGGACAACAGCAGGCTACGGCTGGCCAATGGCTGGTCAACGTTCTAGGCCTGCTGCATATCTTGAAGAGTCGCCTGTGTGATGATGCAGCTCCGGAGATATGCCGAGAGGTGGCTGTTGGCTAATGAAACGCGTTGGACAGGATGACGCTCGTCCAGACGCGTCAGTACCCAGGATCCATTCCTCCCCTGCTCCGCGGAACAAGCTTCATGTACAGGGCACTTTGGACGGCTTCTCAACTGTCATCACTGTGGCACGGCACCATGTGGTTAAGATGTTGTCACTGCTGCTCTCTGCAAGTCTCCCTACGCCGCCTTTCCCGGCCTCGATCCCGCAACTCCATCGCGTTACACCCAAACGAGAGATCCAGCTTGCCTCTGCTGTCCTACCTGGTTTGATTGGTGTTCCAAAGACCGCAACGCCCTCCCTTGGGAGCTGTCCATTCACGGGCAGACCGGTGTATGTCAACCTGGCAATGGAGGAGATCGTCGGGGTTCTCGTCCGGGCTAGGTGCAAGTCTGCGCTTTTTTGGAAAGGGAGGCCGACGCTCGCCAAGCACACATGTTTCCATCGTTCGAAGACTCCTTGCTTTACCCTCACCTCAGCTGCCCAGAATGCCGGTGGAATCGAGATCCATCCCGATCGAGGCCCACAGCAACCGGGAACCAGGCTCCCTCAGGTGGAGGCATGCGAACTGCAGCATATGAGCCAGCACTGGGGTCGATCCTTGGACTTGTGGGTGTGTATGGCGGTCGACTTGAAGTGGCACTTGCTGGGGAGTCTCTCATTCGAAGATGCACGCAGCGCAGAGCTGTCTCGATGTTAATAAACCCTGGGATAGTGACGATGCAGGTCGTAGAGAATTAACGTCTTGACCAGAAGGAATGGACAAGAAAAGGGCAGACTTGGTGCTCGCGCAGGCGGCCGTTGCCTTGGAAAGATGGCGAACACCTTGTGGATGCGACGATGGGAGAGCTTAAGGTATCTGGCGAATGAGAGAGGTTGTGTGAAAGACAACCTCGAAAGTGGGGGTGGCTGAGTCACCCCGCCATGTGTGGCTGAAATACCCCGCGATGCGTGGCTGGGTCTTGTTGAGAAAGCTGCGCTGGTCGGCTGCTGGAAAGAAATGTGGGGTTCTGGTTCGGGAATTCCAGCACTGCCGCTTGAAGCCGTGAACTTCCACCACAGCACCCCAGAGCCTGTTTGATCCTGGGCATATCCAGTAGAGTAGCACACCAGGAGAAATCAATGTGACGACTCTCAGTGGGAAAGTTGACACATTCGTTTAAGAGTTGCAAACGGGGTCGGGAGTCGCGGTACAACGAATCGGTTGGGTCAAAAATAAGAGCGATCTGGCATAAATCCTCAATCTACTTGGTAGAAGACCATTTGCGCAGCTCACTGGGTCGTCAAGAACAGTAGAGACATCATGACCAGGCACCACTAGACGAGCTTGTGTGGCCAATAGCAGAGGTTGTACTTTTTCATCTGAGTCCATGGCATGGTCTGTGCGGGGAGGTTCTGTGTCACACAAGCTCTCTCATTGGTCAGATAAGCTCTCCCCCTCTTCCGCCAAAACACAGGAGTTTTCGCCATTTTGCGAACGTAGATGATCGCTTGAATGCTTCACATATCAAGCGGGTGAAGCAATCTGCATGCTATAGATATATGCTGCAGGCATGTTGGAATATTCTTGTAGGCTGGCGCCAGTATGTGTCAAAAATTAGCTTGGGATCGAATTGAGCCTTATCATGTAATTGCCATCGCGTTGCCAGATGCGTGAGGCCAGATGCGCGAGACCAAGTCTGTGACTAGATGTGTACGCTGATGGCGCGAAGAGAAAGGCTTGGTGAATGAACTACAGCTTGGGCGATTTGGTACTGATGTGGCGCAGGCGGCCCTCTGATCTCTGAGGTGGTTTGAAGACTGCAAAGACGGGGGTCAAAGATCCAAAGGCCTCCGACGTCGTCGTTGCTGCTATTCATAACCCTGTATTTATGGCTAGCTTTTCATCCAAGAGGCTGGAATCCAAGTGGCGGGATCAGGATTGACGACCATAGCGACAGTGTCCGCCTGGTCGGTCTGGTAGATCTGTTGAGCATGTCATCGGACGACAAAAGTTGGATGCTGGTGTCTGTAGAAACGAGACCGGCTTCCAACTTGGGATCGGGGGTGGCATCAGGGGCAGGGGGTCTGCGGTGCTGTGAATCCGGGACTGCTTTGGTGCCCCCCAGCACGCGTCACAAACCTTGTGGGGGAATCACCACTTAAAATGCTAGAGACGCCTTCGCCGGGTCCACAACTGGCTTGCGCAGGCTTTTTTAGATCGTAGAACGTAGGAAAACAGGTCAGAAAAGGGTCTCACAATCAATTGTGTCATGCTGGCCAGCTTGGCGGTGTTCGAAGTGGCGGGAGAAGATGCCCCTGGCGTGTTGAAAAGTGAAGAAGACCTTTGAGTGCAAGGCTTTGTCTGGTGCGCGGAGCCCCGGAAGTCTTCCTAGCCCTCCTGTTTCTTTAAAGGAAGACTGTCATTGTGCCAGAGCTGCGTGGAGCCAAAGTCGTGCTGCCGCACGCAGCGTTTGGAAGAAGACAATTACCTGTGGGTTGCTGAGGCGCAAGTAAAGGAGACCAGACCACACTTGGCTCCCGACCACCACTGGAAATACAGGGCTGATAGCTGGGCCATAGCATACCTAGGTGAACTGTGGCGACACCTGCCCACAGGTGCGCCAGGTGGCCTGTGCAGCCCAGGGCCCTCCAGGCCTTTCTTCCAGCCTCACTCTGGCCAGGCAGCCAGCCCACTTGAGCTAGTCAGATCATACATCACATCACTCATTACAGAGATTCGCAAAACTGGTGTCTGCTTAGCAAGTGTGTTCTTTCTGTTAAGCACGGTCCTTCGACTCTTGGAACGGCTTAGCCGCATTGCAGGTCGCAGGGGTATCTTAACAGAGACTACGCTGATCAGTTCACGAGAGCCCGAAATGACTGATTGAACAAATCGCTGACAGCTGGCCTTCATGATAGACAGTCATCATGACGCAAGCCAAAACCAGCTGATTGTGTGCGTTTACAGCCAGCAGCGTCAGCAATAAGCGGCTTCCTCCAACTTATGCAACGCATTATAAAGGTATCGTTGTATCGGAGCTGCCATTTCGCCCACACAGTAAGCGGCTTATGGCACCAGTAACTAATACTTCTACTTCGCGCCTCGTTTAGAGCACCAATCTGCTTCAGGGTGTCCGCGATGGCGCCGTTGCGTGTCGAGATTAAAACTCGGTTTGGGCTCTCCAGGGACCCATATTGGCGCACGGCGAGGCGTGAAGACCTGCCTTTAGAGGCAGTCTGCCGTCAGAAGGAGGTTGCTGCGTTGCCGCTAGAGGCAATGCTACAGGCGCTGGGCTGCTTCCATCGATCGACTTAAGATCAGGCAAGTACCCCAATCAAAATCCGATGGAGAATCATTGCAAGCCATCGTCACAGAGTAGCTCGGACGCATGGCGGCAATGAGCTCTAACGCCTCCACTGAGATGTGGGAGAAGGATAGGTGAGAATCGACGCGTCAGGCAGCAGGCGACACATGGCCTCGGCTGGGCCTTTGCCCAAAGTAGCTAGTCTGGATCGCCCATAACCTAGCTCATCTTACTTGATACGGCACCCACTCCGCAGTTCCACGCTGCCCCGCATTTTGTGTACCATCGTCAGATCGTGCACCATCTGAAGCTTAATTGATAATTAGCCCATAATCGTCTCTTGTTCGGGTCGGGCCGTATCGTCCCACCATGGAATGTTTGAAATATTTAGGTTCAAAACCTTGTCTCTTGCTAAGGTCTTTTCGATAACCCTTGATATGTATGGTTCTTCTTCAATGCCGACTGCCGATCTGTGCATGCGGATACTCACGATAACG